ATGTTGCGGGACACTCTTGTGGGACACTCCTGTGGGACACTCATTTGGGACACTCTTGTGGGACACTCTTGTGGGACACTCTTGCAAGACACTCTTGTGGGACACTCTTGTGGGACACTCTTGTGGGACACTCTTGTGGGACACTCTTGTGGGACACTCTTGTGGGACACTCTTGTAGGACACTCTTGTGGGACACTCTTGTAGGAAACTCGTGTGGGACACTCTTGTGGGACACTCCTGTAGGACACTCTTGTGGGACACTCTTGTGGGACACTCTTGTGGGACACACTCTTGTGCGACACTGTTGCGGGGCACTGTTGCGGGACACTCTTCAGGGACACTCTTGTGAGACACTCTTGCGGGGCACTGTTGCGGGACACTGTTGTGGGACACTCCTGCGGGACACTCATTTGGGACACTCTTGCGGGACACTCTTGTGGGACACTCTTGTGGGACACTCTTGTGGGACACTCTTGTGAGACACTCTTGCGGGACACTGTTGCGGGACACTCTTGTGGGACACTCCTGTGGGACACTCCTGTGGGACACTCATTTGGGACACTCTTGCGGGACACTCTTGTGGGACACTCTTGTGGGACACTCTTGTGGGACACTCTTGTGGGACACTCTTATAGGACACTCTTGTAGGAAACCCTTGTGGGATACCTCTTGTAGGACACTCTTGTGGGACACTCTTGTAGGACACTCTTGCGGGACACTCTTGTAGGGCATTCTTGTGGGACACTCTTGTGGGACACTCTTATAGGACACTCTTGTGGGACACTCTTAACTCTTGCGAGACACTCTTGTGGGACAGCGGGGTACTCTTGTGGGACACTCTTGTGAGACACTCTTACGGGACACTCTTGTAGGACACTCTTGTGGGACACTCTTACGGGACACTCTTGTTGCACACTCTTGTAGGACACTCTTGTGGGTCACTCTTATGGGACACTCTTGTCGGACACTCTTGTGGGGCACACTTGTGGGACACTCTTGTGGGACACTCTTGTGGGACACTCATACGGGACACTCTTGTGGGACACTCTTGTGGGACACTCTTGTAGGAGACTCTTGTGGGACACTCTTGTGGGACACTCTTACGGGACACTCTTGTAGGACACTCTTGTGGGACACTCTTACGGGACACTCTTGTGGGACACTCTTGTAGGAAACTCTTGTGGGATACTCTTGTAGGACACCCTTGTGGGACACTCTTGTAGGACACTCTTGTGGGACACTCCTGTACTTCGTACGAGACTTCCTCCAAAAGTCACGCTGCGAGGCTGCAAGACGAGCGTTTCGTACGAGACTTCCTCCAAAGGTCACGCGTCAAGTCTCAAAAACGAGCGTTTCGTACGAGACTTCCTCCAAAAGTCACACGTCAAGTCTCCAAAACGAGCGTTTCGTACGAGACTTCCTCCAAAAGTCACATGTCAAGTCCCCAAAACGAGCGTTTCGTACGAGACTTCCTCAAAAACTCACATGTCAAAGTCTGCAAAACGAACGTTTCGCACGAGACTTCCTCCAAAAGTCCAGCGGAAACACCCATCGGAGCACACACATCACGCAGCCCTGCCAAGCAGTTTCGCGATTCCAGCCCCTCCAAACGACACCCGCTCACACGCCAATCCCAATGTGACAGCGACATTCACCTCTACCACAACTCACAACCTCCCGATTCCCTGCGCCTGCCACGAATCTTTCCGCGTCCACACGTCTAACGCGCACAAAGTACTGCGCCTGCCACGAAATGTCACCTCCGTCACACATCGCAACCTCACGATTCCCTGCGCCTGCCACGAAAATCCCACTTCCACACCTCAAAACCCGCACAAAGTCCTGCGCCTGCCACGAAAAGTAACATGTGAGCTTCAACAAAATTTGCACCACACCACACGTTTGGAATGATTTCGACCCGTTCTGAGCACACTCCCATCCACCAAAATCGCCATTTCAGCTGAGACTTGTCACGAAAACAGAGCTTCGATGCCACACCCTGAAACGCAAATCCCAATGGCACGGCCACATCCAACACCCCAAGAACACGACTCTCCAAACGCTAATCCCAATGGAACTGCGCAGCAATCTGCAGATCTCACCAAACGCTGCGCCTGTGCAGCGAAACGCATCACGTTGCTTGCCCGACATGTGTTTTTCATGCAAATCACAATGGAATAGCGGCGCAAACTGACACGTGACACATTCATGAAAAGTCACTTGCCAAAGCTTCCCCCAATGGCAGCGCCTTAGCGCTCTACCGCGAACGGTTGCGAACACTTGCGGACGGTTGCGAACGGTTGCGAACGGTTGCGGACGTAGAAACAACGGGTCACGAACAAGGCTCCACTTCCAGACCCCCAAGAGTTAAACGAGAACCCTTCGCTACGCATTCGGGAATAACATACAAAAGCAAGGGAGCGAACACATGAAAAAGGAACAGAAAGGGAAAACAGCCAGTGAATGATAATGAATGAACAACAAAAGGACACATAATGACCGAGGACCGAGGAAAATGAACCCTTGGCCCTTGCACCACTGGAGGCCTGCGGGCCGGTAAAGAATGCACCTCCCTAGCGAGAGTCCTTGCTTTGCAAGCCCCTCAGCCCGAGCTTGACTCCAACAATACCCTTCGCATGATCAAGCTTGAGAGAGCTAGATCACAAAACCATGCTGCTAAAACCCTCCAGCAGGTTGCCCTGGCTAGTGTGACGCTGATGCTATTAGAATTGTATAGAACGAATTGCCACCACCACCAATTGTACGGATTTTCCTGGACTCCACCCCTGTAGCCATCCTGACCATAAAACAAGCAGGATCTTCAAAGGGCACACTTGTTCGATTTGCATTTAGAATCCACGTCTTGCACAAAAGCACATGATGCTCGTGTTTTTCTTGCCAGTTTCTGTACGAATGCCGTGCTAGACACTACCAGGCTACCCTCGCGTACCTCCTGACTACATCACTCCCTTTGAGGGCTTCAAAAGCTTCAGACAGGTTTAAGGATGTCAAAAGCTGTCCTTTTCTGCATAGAATAGTGAACTTCGGTTTGACAGAGCAGAGCAAGATTCTCTCTGATGCGATGTCTGCCACCATCCAACAGGTCCAACCCGCTTGGCCGTTGAAAGGGATGATGCAAGTTTCGGATCAGATATATATATATATATACATATATATATACATGTTTTGTGAAGTAGGGCGCTTGCTTGCTCGTTCGTGAGATCAAACAATTGAGAGGATGAATCTGAATGGATGCAAAGATGCAGGTGATGTGTGATGGCAACTGTTTGTATTGTTTGGGATGTACGTAACCTCCGGAGCATGAGTGCGGTCTGTGATACGACCTTTGCGGCAAGCTGCCGGTTGGGTGGAGCAAGTTATCTCAGCTCTAGAGCACTTCAGGCAGTCAAGTCTTGCATGCAAGATCGTCTTTGTATATACCATACTGTTCGGGGCTCTCACCGTATCCTGTCTCCTCAGCACAGGGCTTCCGCGGTCCTGCACAGGCAAGATTGGAAGAAATGGCCCCAAAGACTCTCTGATGTTTTTCGTTTCATTTACAAAGCATTTGTACCAAAAGCCCGATGCTGGTTGGCTGTGTCTGGCCACAGTCCTCCGTGGCCAAGGTAGCTGGTGATGGTGCCTGGTACAGCATCAGTACAGTTGTTCGTAGTGATTGAAGGCTGCATGTTGAGAACCAATGGACGAGCTAGAGTCCTAAACTAAACCGACTGCACTTGTCATAGTAAGTCCTGCTCCATGTGCTGCAACTCCTGCAACTCCGATCGAAGGCTTCCGCGGGCTTCTCCAACGAACCAGCAAAGTCACTCGTCCAACTCATACCTGTCCTCTGAAGCCCCTTTCTCCAAGGACTGCTTGGTCTGACAATGATTACAGGCTCTAACTACACAAAGGAGTAGGAGTCGATGCTTCCTCCCCTTCTTCTCTTGCTTCGCCCTGGCCTTTGGCTTTGATGCAGGCCACACAAGCCTGCAGAGTTTCATGATGAGCTCGCGGCGCAGTCAGCAGTTAAAGCCACTACAAGAGAGACGGAGAGAAAGAGTGAGCAGCAACAACATGTTGCAGTAAGTTTCCCTAAACATCTAGAAACCAAATCATTTAGGCGGCCGGGGTAACTTCCTTGAAGAAGCGTGAGCTATCCTGCGTCCATACTAGTAGCAGCTTGCAGGTCCTCTTCTACTAGCTACCTAGCTAACTACCTCCTAGCAGCCCTAGCGGCCTACCCCACCCCAGAGAATGCTGAAACACCTGCTCGGCTCGGTTGACCAAAGAGCGACACGACAGGTGCAACTAAGCAACAGTTGAATGAGGAGAAAACTCGTCAAGTTTTGCCAGCACACCAGGATAGACACCTGCTCACAGACGCACAAACAGCAGAGCCACTTGACTGATCCCAACCTCTAAGCCCAACAGTCTGGCCACTGACTCTGAGAGGAAAATTGGCAGCCCAGGAAGACTGAAAAGTGAAACCTTGATCCAATGCATTTTGATCAGCTTGGTGCTTGCCGTTTGTGTCTATTTTTTCTGAGCACTATATAAATGTGTTTGATGAGGGGTTCTCTGCTTGCTGAGGAACCAATCTGCTTGTCTGTCATTGACAAGCAAACCATAGCAAACCCGACACAGCTAAGAATAGAACTGACAGCACTTGTGCCGAACATACCGTCAGCAAGGTAAAGCGGAGAAAAATCAGTCCTGCTCGAACGCAGTCCTGTCGGAAGAAAAGGTTTGCTCAAGGGACCTTTCTACACCCACTTCACTCTCTTTGACCATCATAGGCATGGGCTAAGATTCAGTCCTTGTCAGAACCCGAACTATAGGGATTGACACAGGCCCAATAGAACATGATAGACACTGTTGCAACATGGTACACCTCAGCCAAGTGCCAACTTGGAGGATACAAATGCTGAAATGTCACAGCGTGCCCATGCCATGCAACCACGACGCCAATGCAAAAACATTGAAGTGCAAACTGGCAGAGCAGAATAGAATCCTGAGTGCAAACTGTTTCCAATTCTGATGGGCACGGAAAGACCCCGTTGGAGGACACAGTCGGACTGACTTTTCACAATTATTGGGTCACTTTTTCACTCGCTCTCTAAGGCCAAATCAGAGTCACTACTACAAGACGTGTTTGAGACATCAAAGGATTGGCATACGCAGCCGAAGCTGATGGAGGCACCTGCAGCGCTCTACCATCGACATCGACCCTTTCCAAAATTCATTTTACAGTACTGCCAAAACAAGAATTCAAATGTAGAGCCTGTATGTGCTTGGCACAGCATCCCAGAAGCCAGCCCAGCAGGGCTGTGCAAAAAGCAATGCCCTGCACAAAGTCTTGCACCCTATCAAGATTTTCAAACGCCTGCAATATGCTACCTTGGGCCAGGAGTTGTGCCTCAGGCAGCAAGTCACCTTCGCCATGGCATCCAACCTCCACTTCCAAAGACAAACTACATTGTAAAGGCATTGTGCTGACAAGTTCCAAGCTCCGCACGATTCCGAAAAAGAGCAGTTTTGCGGCCAAAAGGGCCTTTGGCTCATGCAGCAACAGTTGCTGCCTGCAAAAAGCACAAAAACACAGCAAAGTACAATACAAACCCTCCATAAATTCATCACAAAGCTATATATAGAATACAAAGCTGTTGTCTGGCCTACACAATATAAGCAGAATTGCCGCGGCCAAAAAGAGGCTCGCGCAAATCAAGCAAACCAATAGCTGTAGTCTTTGCCACCTGCAGGTCCTGCCAAGTTGGCGAATGAAGCTCTGCAACCAAGGAAATGTTGAGGCCCAGACTCATGTCCAAAGATGACAGGCAGAAACAGAGTTAGGAATGCAAGCAGTACGTAAATTGCACTGGCCTGAAGCTGATAGTGAATGTGGATTTCACAGGTGACACACTGAAATCAACGCTGATTTAAGCCAAACAGGACTGGATCGAAGAATGCACTCAAGCTAAAGGAGGCTCGAACTATAGTGCTTGCTCGCAAGAAGCTTGATGCGATGAAAGACAAGGGGTAAACGTAGCCAAACCTTGTGGAAATAAACTTCAAGCAAAGCCACTTGAACGCAGCTGAGAGCAAGTCCAAATGTGTCCACAGCGGAGAATTACCTTGTCGCGGGCAACGTTTGAGGGCCTGGGACTTGAACAGCATGATGCCTGGACATGAAAGTTTTAAAGGTCTTGAAGTGAAGTTGTTTGCCAAAGAAGTTAACTCGTTTACAGTAGAGAGAAAGAAACCATGCACGAAGGAAGGCTTCCATCTTGAAACCCAAACCGCCACATCAGAAGTAGAACATAGGACTGCATGTTTGATCCAGGTCACCCTGCCTGACTGGGTTCTGGCATCCGCACTTGTACGACCCATAGAAAGAACGCTGTGTCTTGAGTGTCTTATGTGCTTCTTTGCAGTAAATGTTGTAAAACATGACATGACATCTACTTTGTTGCCTCAAACAATCTGCTCAAACTGGCTTTTCAATGGACTTGTGAGCAATTTGCTGTGTCTAAGATCCAAGTGGACTTGTGAGTGTGCTCTGACATGACTTGTGCTAGCAGCAGCTGTGCAGAAGGCAACTTGCTAAATGAGCATCATTCAATATTGGCAAAAGGTGCCTCTGCCAATCCTGGCGAACTGGGAGCACTGCAGTTCTTCTGTTTTTTGCTAGGTCATAATGAGGAGGCTGTCCAGGGCACGATTTTTCATTGTCAGCCGAAACGCAATGGTAGTGATCTCTGCCTGCCCAAGAGGCAAACCAAACAATGCTGTGCACACACACAAACAATCTGAAAGAAGGGTTCTTCCGGGTAGTCTAAAGCCCTTCATGAAAGAGGTGCGTACTCCAGATATGCCAGTGCTGGCCTGTCTACGAAGGCAAAGGTGCGGACAAGGCATGATAGACAGGTCAGGTACATTAAACAAGGAGCGCAAACTAGCAAGGTGCAAGCTTTATCAGAAGCACTACGTTGAGGTGAAGAAGTATACGATGGAGTGCAAAAGTCAGTTGGTCCTTGCCTACTTGCCTAATAATGTGAATTCGGATTACGTTTCTTGGCCGCTAGGTCAAGTGGTAGGGGCTCGGGCTTCCACCCAAGTTTTGCTCTTTCATTAACTGTAACACGCAGCAACTTTGGAGAATGGGTGCTCTGTGCGTGAGAATCTCCACATGAGTGTGTTGCGGAGTTGTTGAGCAAGGGGTTCAGGTATGTTCAGATACAGTGTGACTCGACTGTCGCAAAACATCACTTACCGTGGCGCACCATGGAATTTTCATAGAATCACGTTGCGTGTTGAGTAGTTGACATACTTTACCGTTATGTTTGTTGCTGAAACTACAGGTGCAACGTCATTCTCTTTCCTGTTTTCAACTTTATATACTGTAACTGCTTCTTCCCAGATGAAAACAGCACCTAGCACAATCCTGACCTCAATTGGGTGTGGGCCGTGATCGATGGGCTCTGAACCAACCAGCTCAAGAAACAAGAGGATACCAGCTGAAGAGTCAAAAGGTTGAGTACAGCCAGGGAATGAGGGAGAACCATCCACAGAGATTTGTAAGGGAAGGCAGGGGAACAAGTGAAGGCCCTGTTGTCCCAGAAGACTATCAGCCATTGCATCCGTTCTGCACTAATCCGTTTTCTCATGTTTTTCAGTAATGCTTTGTTTGTAGTCTAAAAATATGTCGAAGACCAAATGGCAAATGTCTCCGTCCTCATCCCTTTTCCTTTCCCCCTGACAACTTTGCACACAACCCATTGGGGTCAATAAGTATTGATTTTCTTTACCCTTCACTGTCCTCCACAGAGTACTACATCGTCCGAGCACAAACATAGGTAACCCCTCACAACCCTATAGACTTCACACGGATTATCATCACATGCATCTCATGTTATTTCACGACAATACCTTTTCTCGTTGCTTACCTGTTTAACATGTGTGCTTGTGTGCATACATTCTAGAGTCAGGGTTGCCGACCAAACTTTCAGACAAAGGTAGGAGAGAGTTGCATAGGTTTGCAGTCAACCACCGACCAAGGCGCTGCACTTGGATGGCAACATTTCAGAGGTGTGCTGGCTTCTGATAAATACGTGCGTCCGATTTATATAACTGTTGAGTTGATTCTTTCGCCTCCTGATGCGTGCCAGGCCAGACTCGTCCAAACAATGCTGCAGTTGTCTTCGCTTTGGACTACTCAGCCCTACACTGCCTGCGCACTTGTATCCACATAAGTACAGTAGATAGACCCCACCAGTAGCAGCACTTCCAGACCCCCCCGCCTTTGCGCCTGGGTTAAGAATGTTGTTCCTCATCACACGCAAACCTTGACTCTGGGGTCAGGGCGTTGTTTCCTGTTGCCTGTGATTCCAATTTGAATGAAATTGATTGAAGTAGAACTCGCAGGTCGTGTCCAATCCTCAATCTCCTGATTTCCACTGAACATTGTGTGTGTGGTTACTTTTTACGTGTTGCAACGAGTTCATCTAAACACAAATGTAATCTCTGAATTCTATCCTCTGGCGGCGGTCCCTGGCACTCCGCCCTCCGCGCCACTCCCCGCCACCACCAACTCAAGTGTTTGTGAACTTTGAAATGCATTTTGCACGCAGCCTGAGGACTGCGTGTCTTTTACGAACCTGTGACAGTACAAAATGATGCCACTACACTGTCATACTGGGGTTACTCAACAAATTCTAACTCTGTGCTGGAAACTGTTCATAAATGCTATGTACTGTACTTTTGGTACTTCGAGGAGACACCCTCATCGCCAGCAATACCTAAAATGATCTTACATTGGAAAAGGAAGCGTGCGGCATGAACAACAGCCAAATTCTTGGATTTATATACGCCCACGACCCAACTCCCGTGTCTTAAAGCTTCTAAAGGAGGTTTGCTCCGGGTTTACGCAAAATCCAAATTGTTTAGCAAACGGTTGTGCAAAAACAAAAAGGCGCATCTGTTGGGCCTACCAAATGCTTGGTCAAATAGGCCGCAAGCCTGCCAATACATAGGTTCAGCGATCGATGGATGAAGTTGTTTCGGTCAACATGAGTCAACATAGACAAAAATATTCACTGTCCTTCGCCACGAGCAGGCCAAACACTACCAAAAGAAGGACCTGCAAGCATCCACCAGTCATGGGCTCATGGACTTCAAAGAGCTTTCAGCACACACTCTCCCAAGTTTTACACACAAAAGGGTTGTTAAACATACCTGAGAAGGGAGGGGGCAAAAGCCAGCCTCCTTAAGAAGACATGAGTGTGGTTATGAGGTGAATTCGACACCGCACTGGGATTGCTGTCAAGCATGGTGAAATAGAAGGCAAGGAGGCAGAAAGTCTTGCATTGAGGGCCGATATGATAGGCTCTTTGTACACAAGGTGTTTGATCAAGGCCCATTTGCGGTTATAGTCATAGTTACAGGATAGAATTGGAGCCCATGCTGTAGGAGACAGGTTCAATCGAGCAGGACATTTACAGTCGGGAGGATAAAAGTTGAATGAAGCAAGACGTTCACAGGTCGGGGGGGCGCCCTTTATCTTTTAGTTTAAAGATGAAAATGGGCACCCCTAAGTGACCGAGGGGCGCTTGCCTGGTGTTGGTTTCTCCTGTCTTGTACCAGGACTCATAAACTCGGAGGTGTAGTCTAAAGTTTGCTGCCAAGATCCCACATCGAGCCAAGAGTACTGTTGTTATGCGGTGAAGTCGACATTGCACGGACCTCTGCTGCCGTTAGGCACGGAAAAATAGAAGGCAGAGAGGAGCAAGGTCTCGCATTGATATGATAGGCTTGTTATACACAAGGCTTCGATCAGGTCCGTTCACTGTTAGCGGATATACGATAGAAGTGGAGCCCATGCGTTAGGAGAAAGGTTGAATTGAGCAGGACATTCACAGGTCGGCGTTGCCTGGCGTCTGTTTCTCCTGTCTTGTACCAGGACTCAAAAACTTGGCACTGTAGTCTAAAGTTTGCTGCCAAGATCCCGTGATTGCCTGACATCGAGCCAAGATTACTGTTGTTATGCGGTGAAGTCGACATCGCACCGCGGGGAAGTAGAAGGCAGAGAGGCGCAAAGTCTTGCATTGAGGGTCGCCATGATAGACACTTTATACACAATGCCAGGCCCATTGACTGCCATGCGTTAGGACAATAGGTGGGGTAAGGCTGCGCGTGTTTGTTGACATGTGGACGCTTGAGTGAAGTTTAAATTTACATTGCTATACGGCTATACCCGAAACTACTTCTAATTTAAAAAGGGGGGGCGCGGGGGAGGACGCAGCGCCTACCCTGCAATGCAAACCAGAAACAACAGCAGTCGGACCGGTTCATAACCATGGCACTGTTGGTTGGTCTGTGGTAGTGTAACTTGGCAAGACCAAAAAAGACAGATGTCACGCAATTTCCCAAAGGAATCTTCCTTTGCTAACTGCAACGGTCTCTGCGTTGCGTATCTGGGCAAAATTTTGCAACTGCCTTCCTTTCCTTCTGCCTTCCGTCATTCCCTCCTTCCTTCCTTTCCTTCCATTCCTTCTTTCCTTCCTTCCTTCCTCCCTGCCTTCCTTCCTCCCTGCCTTCCTTCCTCCCTGCCTTCCTTCCTCCTGCAAGCTAAGCCTTAAAATGAACATATCCCATTTGAAAACAAAAACGACTAAAATACCCCCCGCGCGCAAAACCGCGTGACACAGCGGTATAACAACAAACGCAATTTGGCCACATGCTGTGCCACAGACTATAGATACAACAGTGTAACACCCGCCATTCATCCCGCTCCCCAGCGACACGCCGAATGTACACCAGCGTGTTTTCCTTCATGGTGTCCTTCCTCCAATGGCACGCACTCACGCAAACGCACTTTCCACTGAGGCCGCACAAAACTGCGTGGCACAGCAGTATAACAACAAACACGACTTGGCCACACGACAGTACTGGATACAACAATGCAACACCAAGCCTCGTGGACACCGCCAATCATCCCGCTCCCGGCGACGCCCCGAATTTACATCAGCATGTTTTCCTTCCCCCAATGGCACAGACTCATGCAAGCGCACCCCCCACCATGGCCGCCCAAAACGGCATGGCACAGACAGTTGAAGTTGGTCGCCGTTCCTGAAGAAGAACCCTTCCCAGGTGCTTGCGGGAAAATTGTGGTTGCCAAAGTTTCGGCCAAGAGATTTGCTCAGACTGCTTCTTGGTGGCCCTAGAATGAAGCCCCTTTTCTACACACGAGCACGGCAACTGTTCAGAGTGCGTGCACAAATATTTGAGCACTGTCTAGAAAGAGCAGGGAACACAAAGCTTTAGCTCGTTTGTGGCATAAGAATCTGGATGCCAAAGCAAACCTGAACACGTTGAGCTTCACATCAGGGTCTGGTAGACTCTGAACATGATCAACCCTGGTCGACAGAGCAATCCTGACCCGAAGCACATGGTTCGACAGTTCAGATAGCTAAGCACAAGACAATACTGGTCCATGATGACTGCCTAAGCTTAATGACTTGAAATAATGCACCATTGATGTGTGACAGACTGAAGAAGCCCACCGCGAATCTTGAACTCTCGAAAATGCAATTTGCAGCTGTGCTGCCCTGGATGCATCCAGGAGTCTGCACCTGGAAGATTCAGAACACATCGAGGGCCAGCTGCCTCAAGAAGTTCAGATTTGGCAGTTCAACATGACGGCTTCTCATAAACGTTCTGCATTCCTTACAATTTCCTAAAGGAATGTCCACATCAAAAATCCAAGCTATGTTGGCTCCCACCTGCATCTTTCTCTGGCAGGCAGCCAAGCGGTCTCGTGTGTCAGTAGAGTGCAGCAGTCGCTTCCTTGTCGCTGGCACAGCTGCCACAAACTCGGCAAGCACAAAGCTGTAGGAAGTGTAGAAGGGCGCCTTCCCGGCTCGTCCATGACAATAGCTCCAAGCAGCCAGAAGGAAAGTTGCTGGGCAGTCGGGCGGCAATGGAAATGCAACTGTACTGAAGTCCCAAACGACTGCAAATGCTCTCCAGCCTCCAGGTCTGCAGATGTTAGTGTCCCAGGCCTGAGAAGATCTATCTTTTTGTTGAAATCCAACAAACTACTACCACCAACCAAGCATACCTGGGACCTAGCTCTCATTGTCTGAATGGCTGGAAATATACACATGCCACATGCCTTCTCCGAAAAGCTGCAGGAATCTCACCACATTGTTCAGCAAAAGCCTTCAGGACACAATGATAGTAGCAAGAGTTTCATGAAGTTGCAAGAAGACAAATGAGCAGAAACCTCCACTCACCTACATTCATAAGCAGAACAGTCACAACAAATCGATTGAATATATGTTGCCTTTGTGTCGCCTCCTGACACAGACAAGTCCAGTGGATGGTCAGATATGTTGCAGGTATGACCCAAGCGGGAAACGCAAAGCTTTATTTCGGCCAGTTCACTGGGAATTCCGCAGTTTTGGCCCCCTTGCTACGATCGAGGCAGGCTTTAATTTTAGTTGCGGTCGAGTAGTGAGTAGTACTCCGTCCAAGGGATAGTGAACAGGCAAATATACAAGGGAAGTCAAAAAATATCGGTGGCTGAAGCACATCCACGGCACTGGGAAGGATTGCAGCCTTGAAACTGAAGCTCTGGAAGCACAACTTAATCCTGTATTGAAGTCATGGTTCAAAAAGGATCTGTTCATGTTTGTCATGCTGTACAGAAACTTTATACAAGGTTGTGCGAGGGTTCGCCCATGTCGATGCAGAGGCTCAAAACCCGCATTCGCAAAGCATGTACTGTGTTTTGCACTAGCTTTAAACAAATTGACATAGAGGTCTGCGTTGTTGCCTGCAACGCAACAGCACATAAGTCTTGGTGCGGGTGGGTTTCAAGGCGCTCCTTTCTGCAACCCATTACATGCTTGGAGACCAAAGACGCTCTTGTGAAAGCATCTTGGGCAACTCTTTACGAACATTCAAAATGGCGTGCCAACAACAAGTCTTCAGGAATGTAGAGTACCGTCTGTGTAGAGCCACTCACAGTAAATAGATGCTTTAGAATACTCTGTGAACCTGTGCATAAGTTCCTCTGACACTTGAATAAGACAGCCAACAATACATTGTTGCCTTCACCAAACACCATTGCCCCTTAGGCTGGACTTTCACATTATGCTTCATGACGTATGAAATCCTTCTATCGTATCTGCATGTTTGCCAGGTACAGGACGGCAAATCCTGCCTGGCTATTGCCATTAGTGCTTGATCAACATTTATCTGGTAAGTCATGATAGTTCCTGGCCACAGTGTCCAGCCAGTTGACTTATGATGCTCTCTCAGCTTACAAGGAAATACAGTAGATACAAAGACCAAAATGTAACGGTCCCAAGTCCAAAACAAAAACTACACATCTCAAAGCAATAGTAAAGTCAACAACGTTCCACTAAGCACCATTTGTATTCGTTCGGGACACGGCTTCAGGGTCAGACATAAAGCGCTCCAGGCCCCAGCATTCCGCGCTGCCGGTCCAGGAGCTGCAGGGAGAATGCAACAGGCTCTTGGTAGCACCCCAATGTCAGGCTGCTTGTGTCACTGTGTTCCATTCAACAAAAGAAACAAAATACACAAGAGAACATTCAGATATCTCCTGAAACATCTCATGTCAAACCAACGAAGGTCACATCCTGCCTCAATGCACTGGTATCCGATGGCCGAGGCTGTTTCCTACAAAATGTCAGTGAGATGTGAACGATACGAGCGAAAGCTGTAGCCTGAGCGAGCCTCTTCAGTCGATTCTCCTGAAGAACTGAAATGCAGCTTGAAGAAGCAACCTTTCCGCAGTCTGAAGGCTTTGCACTTGGTAAGCAGTCCTGAAATAGACTCTACCACCAGGTCATTCAAAGGAAGAGGGGTATCAAACATAGCCTGCAAAAACATCTTGCATATAATACAAAGCATTCACAACACAACACAACATCGTTGATCCGTATGGAGGTTGCCTCGTACTGTTTTTATGTCTTTCATCATAGTTGATGTCTGTCAATGTTGTGGTGCAACTCACAACTGTAGCACAACAAGAATGCATAGCAGCTGACACAATCCACTGTACAATTGCTCTGTGAAGTTTGTCTGGGCAAACCAACAGAACAGTTAATGGTTTACAGGTGCTTTCGAGTCACGCACTTAAGCATATTATATATACTGTATGCTTGCCTTCGAGCATCAGCAAGTGAAGCAGGGAAAACATCATATAATGTAACAAACACAGAACATAGCCCTCTACACAACACCACATTTGAACCTGCAGACACATGATACATCTTCATGATCAACTCAATTACTTCCTACAGTGACATGCCTGCCAACTCAAAAGTAAAGAAGCATTACCCCAAGCCTCAAATCGACCAATTTCAAAGCCATCCTGTGCAAGAAAAGCATGGAGCCCACATTGTGGCAAAATTCTGCATTTGTTACTTGTGGCTTCTAGCTTCTGGTAGTATTGCCCTTGTTACTAGTAGCGATGCCGATGCCCTTGTTACTGCTTGCTGAGCAAGTTAGTCAAGCTGAACAGCGGAACTTATGGGAAGCAGACGCGCGACAAACTCAAAATGGCAAGTAGGTAGAGTGACGAACAAAAATGAAAGCGCTGGAAGGGCACATGGTGAAGAATGTGTATGTGAGAAAGTACACTTGAGCAAACAAGGAAGAAATCATTGACAATCGGCAACTGCCTATATATATATATAAACTCAGTCACAGGCTCTTTTCCACGCGTTGCAGCAAGCTTGTCAG